GTTCTGGCATGTAGGAACGTGTGTGAGAGACCATGTGGGCTGGCTGTGGAAGGCACTATAAAAACTAAGAGTGGAATGCTCATCTGGAGTTGTTCTGTATTATTTATGAAAACTTGGGGCCCAATCCTGTCACCTTCTCTCACGCTAACCATCCCACTAAGGTCAACCAGTGATTATACCTCTTTAAGAATAATATATGTGCATAAAACTTTACTGGATTTGATATATGGATGGAATTTTCAAACTTCAGAGAAACCATGTCTGCTGCTGAAACCGTGTCAAACATCCATTGGATGTTGAAATTTGTGCCTTTGAAAGTAAATAAAACTAAATTTATATGATCTGGAAATGAAAAAAGCCTTTGTATTTAGTTTTATCTTCTGTTTTAGAGGTGTTCACTATAAGAACTTAATAGTGAACACCTATAGTGTGGGATTTATCAAAGAAATATCATCAGTGAGAAGTGGGTTGTGCTGTCCTGGTGTCTACTCCTTGGTAAAACAGCAGCTAAAATAGAAAAATTGAAAGTGGAACATAAAGTTGACAAAAAGCAAAATTCTCTGCTGAGCAATGCAGACAAACCAGGGTAGCAATTACTGTCTGAAAATTATATATAATTAAAGATAAGATTGTAATTTGTGAATAATATAACCATATTTATTCTGAAGACTAATTTGTGTCAACTAAATATGATCATCGGTTTAGAAACTGTAACAATTTGAGCTTAAGGGATACTCCCCCATTTTCTAGCTTCACCTATACACAAGCAAATCTAGAGAAGTGGTTTTGACTTCTTTCCCAAAAAGTTGAACTTTTGTTTTAGGGCACATGTGTCATGCGTTTTGGGGTTTTTCCTGCTGCTTGAACAACAGTCTTTCTTTTTGTGAAATATGTTATACATGGCCTAAGACCTATAGCTATTATAGGTATAAAACAAAACTAATTTTAGAAAATCCATTGAGACATATGGTAAAAAATTCCATTGACAGGATGATAAATGTGTCTTATATTTGGCATAGCTTTAACATACCACTTTTTATTATTTTTCCATAATAATCTCTCACATAAATAGGGCTGTAATCTAAGATTATTTGCAATGCGAAGTATGAAGTGATCACAACATGCAAACAGGACTGTCTGCAGGCTGAAGTGTAACCCATAATACTGTCTTTGAAGCTACTGTGTTTATTTTGAGGCCTTGCCCCAGGGACAGTATGAATTTGGTAGAAGAATTTGTTACCTTCCCAAAACTGCAGTCTCTGACAATTAAAGGTGCAAAATTCTCCCTGCTGGTTCTGAATTCTGGCTCCCCATGTAGTATCACATTGCATTAGTGGCCAAACAATAGTCAAGAGCAGTTGTCATTCAATATAAGACACATTTTGAAACAATTCAGATTTGGAACGGCTTTCAAAGCCAGTTAGATTTCTATAAGGAATTCATTAAAAAAACTGCCAAACACAAACAACCAGTTTGAATGCTGAACCAATTATTTATGTACATAGGCTGCATATTGAAACAGTTTTAAATTTGTACCAGTTCATCTGAAGCAGAATCAATTTGGTAAAGGTATCAAACACAACTGCTTCATTAAACAAGGCATTTTCTCTGCCACTTGCTGCCTTGCCACTGTTGTATCCATAAATCATCTGAAAAGAGTTTTTCATATCACTGTGTATGATATAGCATTCCACTGTGGAGGTTAAGACTGAATGTAGTTCTCTGTGTTCCACATCATGCGTAACAGGCTGTAGCAAAGTAATTTTATGCATTTCTCTTCTGCTGCCTGTATAAAGCAAAACTTTAAGTGCACTCTTATAGGAAGGGGGATGTTTGAGCCCATTCCTGGGACACTCTTCTAAGTGTGTGTGTGTGTGTATATGTAGAAAAACAACAACCGTTTCCCAGGATTTTTATTTACACAAAAACTGTCCAGGATTTGGATACCTTCAGTAGCTTGAGAATCCATAAACAATGAGCTTAACTTTTAGTGTTAAATTCTACAACATCTATACTTCTATGAAAAATTTTCCTTAAATTTGATGAGCTTTAAGAAAAATTTATGTCTGGTCTAATGCTTTCGGTTTTCTGGTTTCAAGTTTTCTCACATCATCCCAATGAGAAACCTCACTCGGGTGCCAGCTCTGTGCAAATGGTGGCAGTGACCCCTTTGTCTAAGTGCTAACTTTGACCCTGGCCAGATCAGCACAAATGGTGCAAAGCAGTTTTCTGTGACCCCTCTGCTTGGAAGTGGATGGAAGGAGGTCTCTATTATGTATCCCCCCGGTTTGGCTCTCCTCACTTTCAGTAAACCATAGGAAAAGATTATTTTTTCCATCTTGGAGGGAGATTGTGGGGTGTTTCCAGTTGAAAGAGCCTCATGATCTAGGCTTGGGCCTTCACTTACGTCTTCTTACCTTATTAAAAGGGGTACTCTTCTTTTTTCTTGATGAAGAAAATGAAGCAAAACAAATCACTTTTCATGTAGTCAACCACAGTGAAGTTAAGGGGAGGAAAAATTACAAGCCATGATAAATGTCAGCAGTCAATATTGTTTCTCTTTACAGAACCATAAACAAAATCATGCAACTAGTCTCTAAAAGGTCTCGATGACAGCTCTGGTAAATTTAAGCAATCTGGCTACAAAGATGAATAGCACATTCTCTCTCTCTCTCTCCCTGAAACTATTTAAATCTAATTAACCTAGTGTCAAACTCTCTGATTTCCCTCCAATGTTCTAACACAGGGCCTTAAACAATGTTGTTTTTTTCTTTAATACCAACTTCTCTTAAAATATTTGGTTTTAACATTTCTCCTTTTATTTGCCTGTGTACCAAAATAAATTATTACCTCAGTTATATGGCCATGACACTGAATCAGATGGTACCCACAGAAGAACAACAGGTTTTTTTCTAGTACAGAAAGCATGTGTATACAATGTCTGACTTGCTCTGGCTCTACTTTTGGGTATTAGCAACTCTTGTTTTTGCCAGTCTTTCATTTCCTGCCATTGCATGGAATTTCACTTCAGTAAACCTAGAAAAAAATTTTTTTATTAATTTCAGTAAGGAAAAATTATTACATACCTTTAGATACAAATTATTAATTTTCTAGAGTTGTATAGGAACTATAGGAATATAGTATATATATTAGGGTAATATGGAATATTAGGAATGACTGCCTATCTTTTCCTGCAGTACTGACAGTGGACTAAATTCTCTGCTGTATATAACCAAGGAGTCAGGAGAGTTGCCCAGGATGCACCTTGCTTCAGCATTTAGATCACTGATATTAAATTGGTTTCATATCTGTTACTCCTTTGGGATAAAGAGGATTTTACTTCATTGACTAGTTTAGTTTGATTTTTAAGCTTTGAAAGAAGAAAAGTGTTTAAATTAAGAACAGTATAAAAGTAATAACTGGATTTTCAAATTGTTCCATTTTGTTAAGTGAAATCTTGAACTTGCTTGGCCATTAGGCCAAATACTATAAAGGACTGAGAAACCCATAGTTATCTGGTTTGAAAATCTTTTGTTGACAGAACAAGCACAAAACAGCTGCAGTTCTTGTTCAAATTACTACATACCTACATAACTCTTTGAAGAAATCAGTAATTCTTTTCTTAATTCCCCAATGAGTAAAAAAAACCCAACAAAAATTGCAAGTAAAACAAGTGTTAGACATTGGAAACAAAAAAGCCTGTAATAAAGGTATGTTCTAGTGGGCTCCATGTAGCTACACAATGTTCACACAAAACATGATTTTAGTGAATATTTTTGGGGCTACCTCCACTTCTTTGAATGAGGAACAATAATTTGAAAGTATTTTTGAGCAATAACTTATACTTAAGCGTTCTTGTATAATTTAACAATGCAGGCAGTCTCTATGTTTCAAACATATATCCTTTTTAAGGGAGCTGAAATATTGGACTTATTTCCCAGTTCATGTAAAGTATATGCTCATCAATGGCCTACCTTACCCAAGGGGATCTGTGCTGTAAATTCCTGGAATAGCTATGAGCAGCCCTTTGTGCTGTTCATATTATTTGCAGGTGGGCTGGCAGACAGGTATAGGCTTATCAGCTGATACCTAATAGCATCTGATTCCTTGTACTGTCTTTAGATATTTAAGCCATCTTCTAAAAGTTGATTTAATTGCATTTGCGCATTTCTGAGTACAGAATTTACTTGATTAGAACCTTTTAAGACTTCCTCTAGGGCTCAGGACTAGATTCTTCCCAGGATGGTCCCAAAAAAGATATTTTACTAGATCGGCTTTCTGTTTGGGTAGGACGCCAACATCAAGGACTTCTGTTTGCTCTCATCTGCCTTAATACAGTGCAGCCAAGGGCAATTGAAATTTGTAGATGAATGTATTATGTACATCTAAATTCAGTCTGGCATTTTTCATTTATTTTTGGCAAATGCTTGATCAATTATTTTCAGTGTAAAGAAAGTGTTGTCACACCCTGCTTCAGAAGGATGTTCACTGTTTTTTAAAGGACCTTATGCCGGACTATGTCTCATTCTGAGACTGAGCCCCACCCTGTGATTTCTGTTGCAGCATACCTGTCAGAATTCATAGCTGAGAAAAGCTACAGTAAAGGAAAGCATTTGCATAACTGGACAAATAATGTCAGCATCCTTTGCTATCAAAGTTTGAGTTAAGGTCTATGTCCTGTGGAACAGAAAAAGTGCGTCTAGTCATGTCTTGTTTAACTTATTTTTTCTAACTTTTTTCTCTTATTTTCTACATCTGGTACTTTTTGTACAGATGACCACCTGCTCTTATAGACCAAACCAGCTGTTTAACAATGTTGTATTGTTGAGATAAGTTGTTGGATTTTGGTTTTTTTTATTTCTCTGAAGTACTTAACAATTTTTAGCCTCTGATGCTCTTTAAAGTTCAAGTGCTTTTGAAGATAAGACATATTGCAGACACAGCATGTGATGGAATAAGTGAACATAGAATGCACTTTACTCTCTGTTTGATCTCTCTAGATGCTGATAATTGGTGGTGGCGTTGCTGGGCTGACTGCAGCAGTAGCTGCCAAAGCAATGGGAATTGCTGTCAGAAGATTTGATGCCAGGTAGAGTAAGAAAATATGGCTTAGAATCTAGAACTCTTTTAACATGTTATAAAATATTCTGGTTAAAGTTCTGCTTTGCTTTGCACTGAAGCAAAACATTGCAATTCAAAAACTATCTGGAAGGTTCCTTTCTGTCATGGGGCTACCAGAAATTTTAGTTAATTCATTACTAATTAATGCAAAATTCAAAAAATTTATTTCAATATCCAGAAAAAGAGAACATCATTTAAAATATGCTGCCTCCTTACTTCCCAGGTCCAGCTTAAGAAAAACATCATCTTTTTTCTTCCTTCCTAGGCTCAGCTGGGCACATTATACCCAGTCCATCACAGCCCCTCTGAATGTGGGGTTGTGTGCAACTGTTTGACCCCCATCCCTCATGGCTGTCCCTACCCCAGCGTGGGTCATCCCTGGGCTCCTGTTCCTCAGATAGGGAACTCCCTTTGCTGAGCAGGGTCTGCTTCCAGGAGTGCCTCACCAGCTGCCTGTCTCCTCAGCACTCCACATGTGTCTGTCTGTATCTCTTCCCATCTCCTGCCTTAGGAGATGACGTGTATGAGCAGGAGTGCCCTGTGCTGGGCTGGCAGCTTTTGGAGGGTGAGAGGCTGTTAATATGGGTTTTGGAGCCAGCTGGAAATGGATGGCACAGGTACTGCTCATACATGAACAGATTACTCCCTCGTGTACCAGGTATGATTTGCCTGCTAGTGTTTAAAAGTGGTATTTGTAAAAGTGGAACTTATATTAGTTCAGGTCTTATTCCAAGTAAGATTCTGCTTATGACATTGGAGAACTCAAACATATGTCCCTATTAGCATAAAATGCATAGTGAAATATGCACGTATCTAGGTATTTACTAAAAACTATTAATGAGTAATGGCTTCATGTTTACATTTTACCTTTTTTTAATCAATGATTTAGAGTATTTGCTTTGCTAATGATTTCCCAGTAATTTTCAATTCAGACTGAAAGTAATGAATACATTATATTTACTTCTGAAAGCACCCATGTATATGACATACTCCCTATACCCTCTCTAGTAAGAGTTACCATTTCTAGTAAGACCTATTAAACTTGTTTGGTTTGCTTTCTTAAACATGAAATTGGGGAAGAAGTCTTCAGTCCTAAGCAGTAGGAGTATGATGGAGTCCATGAAACAATGATCAGTAATTATACAGAGCTGAGGCAGGGAGTAAAGTAGAAATTACTCATCCTGCAGAAGTTGACATTTTTCAGGTGTAGATTATACACCAGTATTTAGAAATAACTGATGTGCAGGGAAAATACAAATAACCTCAGTGTTGCTCTAACAAATGAAAAAGCAATCAACATTACAGTAATAAAGATTGTCTTTCCTTGAAGTCACTGCAAGTCTGTCATGGAGTCCTTACAAAAGTGTTTTGGGGTAATAAAGCAAAGTCTTTCATAAGTAATAAAACCACAAATTGGAATATTAGTCAGACATAATTATGCCTGTTTTATGCACTGTGACTTTTATAAGCGTGGAAACATCCTTTTAAACAATGACATCCATAAATGCTTTTAAACGAGTTCCTTCATTATCAAGAATTTTGAGTGTTCAATTCAAGATATAGGAAAAGAGAAACCACTTCAGAGATTTTCATATTTTTACAATTTCAAAGTAGCAGTATAGAACAGTTTTTAATATGAATGGTAGATTATACGGGACTACCATTAAAATTAATATAATTTTTTGATGAGGACTAAATTCCATTGTGATGTGGAAAAGCAAAGTTATGCTGTGTAGAATAGTAAGATGATATGAAGGTGCAACTATATGTTTGTAAAGACCCATTAATTGAAGCAGTTTAAAATGCTCTCATTTCAGTATTTGTGAATTTACCCAAAAAGGATAAATCCCATCAGAAACCAGCCTGGGCTGTGGGCTGTAAAGCAGAATGCTTGCTGCCACTGTCCCCCAGATCATAGGTCACTGCAATGGCTTGTTCTGGAGAGCCAGGTGAAGTGTCCAGCTGCGGTATTTCAATTTTACCTTGTATTGATGACTCCTGGGGCTGCCATACTTCATTATTATCAAGGTCAGAATTCAATGTAAGTTGTTTTCAGAGCATGGCATTAGGATTTGTTTGGGGTTTTTTTGATGTTCTGCTTTCATAATAATACTAGGGGATGTTAGAGACGTGGTATAAATCCAGATGTACTTGCAAGGAATTTAAGATTTGAAGGTATCACTATCTTCTTCCTTGGGATTGTCTGGAGTGCAGTTAATCTGTGAAACACATTGTGCAATGTGATTCTTATCAGACAACCATGAGGTGTTTTTTCATTTGAAGAAGTACTTGATTTCTTCTTCTCAAAAATAAGCACCATATGGTTTTGTAACCAGTTCCCTGACTGGCCTCCCAGCTCATTTAATCTCTGGCTTCCTGACAAAATTGCTGAATTTCTTTGGTCATGCATCAGAGTAAGCTATTAGTTTTACACAGAAACCTTAACTTGTAAAATAAAGCTTTAGTAACTCATGTCTGTAGTAATATGCAAATTTGATTTACTAGCATGCATAAAGCAGGCATCAGATCTGTGGAGAACATGTGAAAAGTTTCCAACACATGAAAGCTTTGACAACTATTTATTTTGCTTTCTCATCAGGGTGTGGTGAACACTGGTTACAAGGACTTGCCAAGAAGAAGGGCTACTCAAGCCAGTAGCCTTTTTCCAGCAACATCTTGAAATTATTAAAGCTGTTTCTCCTGAGAGAGAATATTTTCACTTTGAACAAAAGGACGATTTAGATTATAGGGCTATTGATTGTGTCATTAGAGGAATTTGAGTAATAAAGGTGAGTTTCAACACTAAAACATTTTTGATAAAAAACATATAAAATGTGTTCTCTGAGAGCAGTGATTTTGTTAGGGAGTTTAGTCATTCTGAGGAAATGTTATCATTCAATGTCTACAGAATGTCTTCAATGTTGGGAAGTGAATTTCTTGCTTGTTTCAAGCAGTAAAATATGGGGCAAAAAGACTTATAAAAATGTCAATACTCTAAAATTACTGCTGTCCTTTAAACTCGTGTTTTTGAAGGATGTGTTTTGAGAATCAGCCCATCTCCTGAGCTACTGTGCTCTGCCTTAGTAATAGAACTTCAAGTACTAGAGTTTATGGACTCAAATGAGCTGAAAACTCAACAGGAGCTGAAAACTAGGAATAGGTGAGCTTGTGTGTTACACAAAAGGACTTCAAGAACGCAAGTACTTCAAAGGCCAAATGGTCTGATGACACTTACTGCATCTTTGCCCCCCAGGGTCAGGAGAGGTGGAGTATTGCTAAGGATACAGTGGTTTTTTTTTTTTAAACAACCAGGGGTTTAGCCTGAGAACATCAAACATATTTCAGCCCTGATATGACATCATTAAGCTGTACTCAGTGTAGTCTCCATTGTAATAGCAGCAGCCCTCATGCCTTCCTATATCCTTTAGCCCTGTCTTTTGGAGGAGAAAAAGAACTAAATATACAGTTAAATTAGGAGACAGCCTTAAGATCTGTAAATACTGGTATTACTTGTGTGCTGACTGCAATTTTTTGTATGCAAGATGTTTCTTGAGATAAACCGATTCTTTTTCAGTCAAGTTGATTTTGGATGTAGTTAAGAAAAAATAATTTCTGTAGTTGTGGTGAATTGAAGATTGACAGGAATCCATATTTGCCTGCAGGTAGCATTAATCCAAAGTACAGTCATGCAAAACATTTACATATTGGCAGACTGGAATTACTTTTCAGCTAAGGAAGTGTTTGTAAAGAGAAGCATATTCATCTAAGCTTTTAAGGAACACAGTCTAGGATTTAGGTATGTTATCTTTTTTAATGTTTGTTTTCTGTGCTTTCTTTTGTGTTTGCTTTGTATTGTTCTTGAATTTTTTGTTTTATTTTTGTTCTTTCCCCTTCAGTGGTAAGTGTATTACATCTGAAATGTATTAGGCCAAAACTGGTTTAGTAGAAACACAAAATTGTTTTTTACAACTGACTGCATTTAATGGTTGGTGCTATTTTGCAAATCAAGGGTTATAGTAATTAATATAAGGTAAAGGCCAAATCCCATTCTATTTGCTCATGTGAATAATCCCACTAATTTCAGATGGACAAATAAGTAATCATGGCAGAACTTTACTGAAACAAACAGCTCATAATATAAAGAAAGGTAAGATACAGTAGGAATCCATCATAATGTTTTTTTTTTCTGCAACAGGAAGGTGTAAAGCATTATTTCAATAACATTTGCCAGGGACAGCACCCTTTCTATTAAAAAAAAAGATTAGCACAAGATCAGGAAGAGTCATATCCTTATAATCTAGGAAAATTATGATCACAACTGGAATTTATCTGAGAGATACAAGGGAATTTATCTATATTTCTTGTTACCAGTAGGCATTTTGATGATGAGCCATGCTAGGAATAATTATGTAACAATAAAGAGAGCTTCTTTATTGTTAATAAGAGAGCTACTTAAAGGTAGTGTGGACTAACTGGAAAAGGCACAGACAGTGGTAAATCAGGTTCGTTAACGTGTCCTGCTGCTTTCCAATTAAATGAAAGGCTAAAAATGCACTTTTCAGGGTCCTTGGTGAATCACCATATGCCTTTTGTTACCAATAAATTTCCTCTGATATTAATTATGTATGAAATAAAGAGCCAATATAGTATAGGTTAGGAACCCAATCCAGGGCCAATTGAAATGAATATAGGCTGTTCTCAAAAGCTTTTGGATCAGGGCCTGTGTATACGGCATAACTCCAGATGTCATTATCTGTGTTGAAATATATGTATGGAATGGAAAAAGGAATCATATAGCAAGGTTTTGATTATGTTCAAGAGTACTCTTCTCATAAACAAGATTGTTATTCACTTTACATTAAAAATAATGATGGAATGAAAGAATAATGCAAATAATAACAGAAAAAGATACATATAGCACAGCTTTTTGAGGGTTCACTACCTTCAAGACTCCTGTTCAAGCTGAATGAGTAACAGTAGAAATATCTATTAGTTCAAGGAAAGCAAATTCTGGCAATATGAAAAGTTGATTTTAAAGGAGGAAAGCTGAGTCTGTTTCACTCATTCCTTAACCAAACTTTGTACAGCAGCTTGAAGTCCTCCTTACTGTCTTCTCCCAGGGTCATGGACTTACCATGTTTTGTCCAAAGTATCAACCTTGTTTGAAGATCTAGTCTCCTTGATTAACAGTGGGCAATTTTGTATATGTTTTAAAGTTTTTGTTAAAAACTTTCTTAAATGACAGTATAACTGGAAATTGAACTGTCATTTCTAAGAGTGAGATGGGAATATTTTGCTATTTTAGGCTTTGTCTTGATCAGAGAAATTAATTTTGTACACTGAGTTGCTCAGAGCTTACTTGGGTATATTTAACAAAACCTTGTGCGAGTGATGACAAAATATGTCTCCAAGTAGAATATCATATTATCTTGGATTAATGAAATGATCTGGTCTTTTCCTAAAGAGGGAAAAACATTTCCTTAAACCACTAACACATATGGTCAAAGAGACTAGTACTGGAAGTAATAATATTTTCTCCCAAGGAAGTATTGTTGAACTCTTTGTGTGGTCTGCATCTTTTAACAATGTTCAGATGCTACACTGTGGTCTGTATTTCTACTAATGCAGTAAAGGTTGTGAAAAGCCACTGGGGAATTTATGACATATTTGATTTTGGAGTTTTTCTGGTGAACCATTTCTCCATATTTGTCCAAGTGGAATATTTTTTATTTCATAAATTTAGTTTGGCAGTCCCCTGTGCATCTGCTGAATCCTGGGGTACACACTTCATTCTCATGTTGGCTAAGTCTATTATTCCAAAATTAGTTTTCTGGCAAAAACAATGTACACAAGTTATGCATGCCAAATTATGATCAGGAAATGCCTTCTGCTATCATGGGTGTCTGTGACAACTTCTGTGGAAGAAGGGTTTGGGTTCTATGCCTGTTTTTGTTTTATGATTAATAAAGAAAAGTGCTTTTTTGCTCTTCTGAGTGCATAGTTTTTTTCTTTATAGGTTTGGCAGGTATTTTCGGACTGATGCTTGTTTCTCCCAATCCTTTTTTTAATCAAATAGTGAGCAGATTTTTCTTGCTTGGAATAGTGGTTATCGCACTACCCAGGAAGTCACACCTTCCTTTGCCTCTCATACCAGAAACTTTATTTATTATTCCCAAGTGAATTGTCTGGTGCCTTCTTCTCTCATATGCTTCACTATGACAGATTTGAGTTCATAAAAGGAACCTATAGAAAATGAAAACAAGGTTAATGGCTTCTTCAAAATGAATTACAAATGAGATTACAATTTTAGTTCCTACCTCAAAACAAAAAAAGTATCAACTTCATGTTTATACACATTGTCTTACAGTAAATATACATAATTTTGTGAGTGATGACAAAAGAAGGAAATGTTTAAGAGAATTAATGGAATAGTGAGAAGTGATGATAAATTTTGATGCAACCTCAGGTATGTCTGTCTGCGTGCTTTGCTTTTTCCTTTGCATAGTACCAGCTCCTTTCTGCCTGATTAGTCCAAAAAGGAATACATCTCCCAAACAAGGAGAATGTTTCATCAGCTGATGGAGTTACTAGATTAAATCATACCTGGGGATGGGTTTGTCATGCTGATTAGCGCTCCACAGTTACCTGTCTGTTATTTGAGCATATTTTTATAAGCTATCTAGCTGGTTTCTGAGCCATAATTTGTGGTGAAAAAAGACACCCTGAATCACAATTTAATATTTTCACTGATTAAAGATAAGAAATTTCATTCTAGCATTTCTCTAGAATGCTCCCCCAAACGGCATGTAGAGACAGTTTGCAAACTACAGAAAAGAAAGAGCTGGGAAACCTATGGAATAGATAGAATGTACAGCAATGGGATAGGTTCTGTTTATTGGAATATGAAAGGCTACTGACACATTAAAGAGTTTATGGGGTACTTTTCAAAACAAGACTGGGAAAAGCAGATAAATTAGACAACATAATTTAGCATGAAGTTCTGTAGCTCTCAAAGTAAAACAAAGGTAGAATTTGTTCAATAGCTAACTAACCCAAAGCTAGGAGGGTGGTCTTGGCTAGCAAAATGAGTAATATGAGCAAGTAAAGAGCTGGATCCTGCATGAAATATTAGTGCTACAAGCAGTAAGTTACAAGGCATATGTGCAGAATCAGGCCCTCTTGAAAAACAGCCCTCTAGGAAAACGATTCACTTATATGGACAAATATTTGTCATCCTTCTTCATTAGATCATGGGATCTGTTATCCCTAGGGCCAGGGAAACAACTTTATAGGCTTTTTGTTTTGTACTGTCCTTATTTGAGCATATTCCTTTGACTGTGCAATGTTTCATTCAAGAAAAATAGCTTTGCATTTCAAGTTCTAAAAACGTTCAGTCAGTTACAAAAGCAGGAGCATTCATTGAAGAACTTAATTCATTTGCTCAGGTACCAGTCTCTAGGTAGTTGAGAGTTTATCAGGAGACCATGATCACCTTTATTTGCTATTTTTAAAACCACCCTCAGATTCATTTCTTTACTATTTTTTAATCCACATCCAGATGCATGTGTTGTTTGAAACTTATTAAATCAGAGATATTTCTTATTACAGGTAGAACATAACTGGCATTCATCTTTATTAAAGAGAGAGAAAGGAAGTATTTTGGGAAGACAACAATCTGATAGTTATTAGACCTGAATTGTTTTTTACCTGTCCTTAAGGCTTCCAACATCCTAGAAAACTGTTTAGCACTTACTCTGGAAGATATTAGGTGTTGAATTTCATAAATTCTTTAAAGTTTTTCAAACAGTACCATCACTGGGGGAAAAATCTAATGCATGTCCTGGAACTTGTCAGAAGGTTACATAAAGTGTGAAAATCACTAAAGCTATCTTTTTTCTTTTTAAGTTGTCTTACAAATGAGTACTTGAGAGGTGTTCTGGGAAATCTGTATTGCTTGTGTTGCATCCTTTCCACAGGCCATAGTAAAAGCCACAGCGATACAGTCATACAGGTACTCTGTTTAACCCCAGATTTCCTCAGGGTACAATATCTCTAAACTTGCTCCATCTCAGGATTGTTCGCATCCTTGTGTGACAGTTTCCCTTCTCTCAGCTTGAAGCCTTTGGGCTTAGACTCCTGAAAAGCCCATAAATATATCTTGCAGATACCAGCCAACATATGGTCTTTGGCCTTTGCAAACGTTCCAAGAATGTTGATGAATGGTTATGATTTGAGTATCATGGATTTTTCTGACTACATTGTTTTCAATCATACTTTCAACTCATTCAGTGATGCAGGTTAAAAGACAGTTTATAATTTAAAATTGTCACCATGTGCTCTTCAAATATCAAATGGATGATGGCATGTTTACTAAATGAGTTCATGTAGGAATTTGAGAGAATTTTTTATATCAAAATATCTAAAATCAAAATGTGAGAGAATCAGAGCTTCATATGTACATTGAAAAATTATAGAAATTTTGCCCATGAAGAATATAATGGCCAAAACATTTTGAAATGTGTGCAGGGCAGCACTAATCTAGCAAAGGTATTTTTTTCATTTTTCATGATAAGTATTTTTATGTAATGGCAGAGTATTAAGAAATAAGCCTGAAAACCATAAAGACTAAGACAGTAATTGAGGCATTTTAAACTAATATTAGAAAACAATACATCAGTGTTGATGATAATTGAAAACATGTACTCAAATATATGTCAATGGATCCTGGAGCTGAATTGCTGGGATGCTAATTAGTTTCATAGTTGCTTGCTGAATTGGTGTCATAAAAAATACAGAAACCAGAAAATGTTAAGAGAGGAATGTGCAGAAGTCTAATAATCAAAAACGGATATTCACTCGCAATGAAAAACAAAGAAGAAATCTTTCATCTTTAAAGACAAGCTGTTTATTCTCAGTCGTCCTGGCAATTATAAAATAGTTTGAAGTATATCGATACTAAACGGTTGATTTTTTTTTCTTTGATTTTTGTGTTTTGGTTTTTTCACCTAATGTATTTCAGCTCAGCTGTGTGCTGTGCAAGAGAGATGGCAAGACTGTCTAATCAGAACACTTCTGGGCTGGGAATGCCCCTCGTATGACTGAGGTGTCAAAGCTTCAGGAGCAAGCAGTAGTGGAAGCACAGAAATCTTCAGCAGAAGTTCTGGGCATGGCTCTGGGTGACACAATGGGCATATGCACTTCTTGTAAGGTAAATGTGCTCAATCCACAGCATCCTTGTTACTGGTTAATTTACTGTTCTTTGAGAAGATAGTATATTATGAAGACATTCAATTCCTAAAGGTGGCACTTCTGTCTAAGGGGTGAAGGATCTTAATTGCAGATAAAAAGTTTGTTTTGCTCAAGTTAAATATTGTTCTGAAATGAAAAATTGGTGTTTAAAAAAGCACTGATCTAGTTAGATGTTTTTGGAACTTCCCATTTGTTTTCTTATATGAAACAATTTTCTTCTTATGAATTTACCAACTGCTCCAGTTGATCTAAATTACAATAAATTTAAGCGAAAACAAAATGTTTGAAAATTTCAAATTAGTTTTAATGCCGATTTGTTAAGGAGGACTTTGTATCCAATATTATGGAGGCCAATAGAAATTCTCGTAAGTTGAGCCTGATACTTGGTATGAGAGAAGAGGAGAAGGCACTACTCTGCCAGTTTGTCACTTAGATTGTGGCAGTCTTTTAAAGCATCCAGAGCTGTTTTGCCTGCCTTGATTCTCTGTAGGCAAAATGTGTTTGGAAACTCTGGCGGGTACATCCACACAACACTCTCCCATACATGAGAAATAGTGGCTTCAAAGGAGCTGTTTTGGCTCTGTTTCTTACTAGTTGTCATCCCAAAATGTTCTAGCAATGTATTTTTGGAAAAGACTTAAATTAGGTTAAAATTTCCTATAACTATTATATTTCTAATTCATTGTATGAAGAGGAAAACAACATAAGTAAACAGTCCTTTCTTGCTCAATGGTCTGTTTATGTTTTGAGTATGAAACACAATGTAATATTTCATTTTGGATCTAAATAATTTAATTTTGCAGGTCTTACCATTGCAAAATGAATTGAAATCTCTGACCTTCCTCAGCCTGTAGCTACATTTCACAGTCTGGTTGGTTTGGCAGCCACAACTCTTACATGAATTGCCAAATATGGAATTGAATATCCACACCTTGATGTTCACCCTTCTGCCAGTGTTCTCAAAATTGTGGTGTATCTGGACACTATAGGTGTAGGGTGTAGTTTCAGTGCTTCTTTAGTGACTTTTAAAAAATTGCTGGGTACTTTACTGTAGTCGGTCATATAAAATTTAGAGTGCAGTTCACTAGAGGCCCTTTCCTGTTCTCCTCAAAATCCAGTTGGCTCCTAGGAGGAGCCAGGGCGTAATTACCTTAGGACCTTTACAAGGGAAACAGTCTTACACAATTTAGCTTACCAGATTTGGGAGGACTGGAACACGAGGAAAAGGAGGTTAGTGACTTTGCCTTTTGTGTTGATGAGATGGTGTTTTGTGTAGGAGAGATGGTGATGTTGGTCTCAAAGATTTTTTTTTTCCCTGAATTTGCTAAACAGTGTTTGTTTAACTGATAATCTGACTTAGATTCCGTAGAGCTTTATTCCTAAGACTCATGTGAGCAACTGTTTGCTAGAGGAATTGTAGTAAGAGATCTTTTAGGTCCCTAAGTAGTAATTATCTCCTACTGTGAAGTTATACAGCTATTCAAATTTCATGTTCTGCATAATTGCTGTCCAATTTGATATTACAAAGTAATCATATCAAATTGCTTTTGTTTTCTCATAATTAACAAGGCTGATAGAAGGAGTCACAGACCGTGACAGGAAAAGGAACTGGGGCACTTCCATTCCTGAGAATTCCTCCCCCAAAAAATTCCTGACTTTTTGTCTTCTATCTGAAATTGGTGGATCTTTCCTTCAGCTAAACTAATCACCAAGATGACCAGTATCTTTGGTATTTTTATTCTGTACCATACCCTGCTTTAATTTCTAGTGCTTTAGCATTAAAAATATTTTAGTGCTAAAGGCAATACAGCATTAGAGCAGCCACACTCACTTCCAGGTGTGCTGAACTCGGGACCATTTCTTCTTTGGGCAGCACTAGCTGGCTTGCTGACAGCATCCATGGCTAGTATGATCCAAGCTGCACCCCTGGATTAGTATGCACTCTTGGTGTTACAGGATTCTCCTCAATTATGGTGAAAGTCTCCAGAGAGCAATTCTTGAGACATTTCATTGCAAATATAAGTTTTTTGCACGCACATCCAGCGCTTGCCGAGTACCCTCCGCAAGGGAGTCTTGCATGTCAACGAAAAATATTGGCATAAACTATGAAGAATCAACAAAGCACTCTGCAGAATGTTTATCTAGTCCTATAGAAATTCCTTAACAAGTCTGCAAGACTTAGTAGGATCCCACAAACCACACTGCAGAGATCCAAAGCTTTCTAGCCAGCAGCAGTGCTGTAAAATAAGCTGTGGATGTTTATCTAGTCAGATGTATATGTAACCCTAGCCATTACTGTAATTGTGGATGGGTTTTGGAAAGAAATAAGTGAGTAAGGGTCTTGTCCTGCTAAGTAACAAATGATTTCAGCTCCTATTATGCCTGTATAATCTTTGAGCAAAAATTCTAAAGGCATGTTTACTTACATGACCAAATGGAGGTCATAGGTAACAATCTTCCTCTAACTGTGTGATTAAATGCACATTTATTTGCTTTTATTTAATTTAGTAAATATTTTAGGAATGATATAATTTCTTGAGATACTAGTTAAGTTTTTATTTCCCTTATGTGGTACTATACTAGATTGCAGGGGCTGACAGCTGTAAGTGGAGCAGCTATGCCTGTTACTCAAATACCAAACAGTCACTGGCTGAGCCTTGTGTGCAGAAGGTTTTCTTGACAATTGTGGGTGTCTTGATTGGTTCCTCTGGATGGAGCTATCCTGTCATGCATTATGTGTGCAAGTAAGGAAATTCCACTAGTTTGTCCTCTTTTCTGTGTGAAAAAAGACAAAAGGCATCTAGTCAGAAAACTCTTAAAGTAAGATGTTGCAGGAGATTGGATGACTGGACTGGCTATGTGACAGGATTTTGCTCATACTGGTAGTATAAAAAATGAAGCTATGACAACTGGATATAGATGTCTGGTGGGTTTTCTAGAATTAAAATTTGGCAAAAAACCCTCCTAAAATGCCAGTGACAGCAAAGAAATCAAAATATGTCTGGATTGCGTGATGTGTAACACTGTTGAGATATCCAGCCAACTGAAGGATTGCAAGCAATATATATGTGCAAGGAAAGATCTTCATTTTTACCCTTTTTAGCTGCTTCTTTACCCAGAGCCAAGCACTTCTGCATGGCACTTCACTGAGCAGTGTGAATGTGCCATCAGTTCGGTTCTGGATGGTCATACCCTGGGTATGGCACTGGCACTCACATGTTGGCATGGAGTACAAACCAGGGGCCTTGAGACAGCTGATTCCTGATTGAGGTGGTGATCTTATGCCATAAGAGAACTTGCAGTTTTGCACGACTTCTAGCCCTGCTGTATGTAAACAGTTCCTCATACACTAAATCTAGAAGCTGAACTTTAAAAACAACTAGAAAAAACAATACAGCAATGTGATTTACTAGTGAAACTAGCCATGTAAGTTAATATTTTATAAAACACTAAATGGCCTTCACTGAAAGATCTCACCCAGCAACTGGCTTTGAGGAAGTGCGAAAGTGCTGTTTCATAACATGCAAGATGGGAGATGTTATTTAAACAAAGAACATCTTTGTTTCACTAGCAAAAAAATGTTAAGGTAGTTTAGGGAGGAGAAGAGAAATAATTTAAAAATGTCTGAAAAACAAAGTTTTCTCCAAAGCGTATCTGAAAATCTGTTTGAAATGTAATTTTTATGCCAAGTGGGATCCTCAAGCTTTAAAAAAGGAAAAAAAAAAAAAAAAAAGCAATGCAATATTGAACTGTTGAACCATTTCTGTATCAGCTTTGCAGCTTGTTAAAGTAAACTTTAATGAGCTGAAAAAGAACGCAGTCTGACTTCCCAAACAAACTACATGGGAACTTAGAGCAAATGAACAAATGAACTATTTATTTTGGGTTTCTTTTAATGGACTTATAACTGTTGGCTTGACCAATATACTCATTTAATATATTCACATTTAGGCTTGATCTTTGCCAAATACCACTTCTGGGTGGATATGGCACAGCATCTACAGCAGGAAAGAAACCTATGGAAATTGTTGCAACTTGCACTGAAGCTGGATTAGACCAAGTTATTGAAGAGATAAAGGAGTCTGATTCTATCATTACCCTGGGTGAGAATTCAGATATTTGCTGTTCAAATTACTCAACAGCACACTTTCCAAGCTACCTCACGTCTTGAGTAACACTCACTATTTCACTGAAATATTCACTGATTATAATTCAGTGAATTAATTCTGAATATAATATCTTCACTGAAATTAATCATGTCAAAATCTTGTTCCCGCTTCCTTGAATCTTTCCAATTCACACTTGTAATCAAAATACTAAAATTGCTAAATACCTTTTTTGTCCTTATATGCCACCTGTGTCTCATCTGATATTAGCAGTCATTCCTTCCTTGGTTTTGCCCATAAATACAGACCCTTAAAATGATTAAGTCAACTTCAGAGCATACATCTTGGTAGTACTACAGTGCTCATTCTTCTCTAATGATACAGCATATGGCAAAAGGGTTAATCAAGGCTCTAAGACTAATTTCATCAGGTTTACACAATTTGTCATATCATGAAATTTTGAGGTTTTGCAGTTGATGTATATTCCACCTCCAATATAAGTCAGTCCTGCTCTTTATGATTAGACCTTAATGAATAATAACTCACTTGATGTCTGTGAACTCTTCGGGGAGTTTCCCTCAGCTTAAAAAATGAAGGCCTTCAACGCAGGACTGGGGACAGTGGAAATACAAAGAATTTGTCACAAACCTAATTGGTTTTGGTTTTTTACTCTTTGAATTTTACTGGTTTATAGCAAAGAAATGTGAGATGAAGTCACTGAAGTTACTTTACTGGGCTTCCCTCATTGTGTTAATTCTCATTAAAAAGCCCTCCCAGACTTGCTTTTCCTAAAAATGGGTAACCCAGCACTGCCAAGATTTATGCAGGGTAATCAGCTATTCAGCCTGAGATTTCTCTAAGAATGGCAAGCTTTGGCCAACATTCATTTTCAATTGCAACAATAACCAAAAAGTTTGTGTCATGTTGTTTCAGGACAGTTTACTTTCTGTAGCATAAATATACATGGAAAATATTAATGGAAACTAGGAAACATTCAATTTTCATGCATCCCATCTATGGTACAGTATAAGTCGCTAAGTTGAATTGTGCCAGCTAATCATTCCTCTTTTATTATAAAAAATTGCAAATGCCTATGAAGGCATGTGGACAAAAGACAATGGTTCCAAATATGTAGCAGAAAATTCTTGAATATAATAGTTTTTGTACACTGGATTGCCTGAAGCAATTGAGCACTTGCTGTGTATCCAGCTGAAATGTTCTGCACCTCTGCTGAAACCCCAGGGGAAGCCTGGGTCTTCTGTGCCCTAAGTCACAGGCCTTGGAGGTGCTGTACATCCCTACAGCTGGAATGAAGCCGGCTTCTCCAGCTGACCCAAGAATACAGTTGGCTTCTTTCAGAGGCAGCTGCGTGCAGCCCGTAGCCAAATGAATGGGTCATCACGATGAGGGGCCTCTGAGAGGAGAGGGATATGGAAAAAAGAGAAGAGAATTGCCAAAATGCCTCCCCCAGCAAAGCAGGCTGATGTAGAAAGTAATGTTAAGTGCAGTTCATTTGGTATAGTCACACTAAAAAAATCCAACAGAAAACACTCAAAGTCCTAGAAATTGGTTATTAGTCAAGATGTTGATATACTCTTCCCCTGAAGATTAAATAATTAGTTTTTTGAAGTGTCAGAGGCTTTACTTGTAATAAAATAGTGAATTTCAGGTAGAGTGCTGCATCGTTAAAAATATACACATTAAAAATTCAATATTTAGGGTGTTAATGATTTTTTGTTTTAATTTTCACTCAATGTCTCTTTTGGATTTTTTTTTTTTTTTTGGTATAAGTCCTAAATTTGTAAGGATGGCAAATATTTCCTAATATATTCAACATTGCATAAGTAAGGAAGGCTTTAAGAACTATGATAATTTCTCTGGAGATGAGCTGCAGCATCAGGAGGAAAGGCAAAGATGGCTCTATATTACCTCTGCTTTTCCTTCTGAGGCTGCCAACTATTAAACTAGAGACTATGTAGGCCACTGACAGGTGGGGATCTGGTAATTTCAACAGCACCTTTTCAGATCTTTGAATCACCTTGCACTGGCCATATTTCCTTTGCACAATTCTTCACTTCTTTCTCTGGACTAGAGCTGCTTTGCTTCACTGGACCCAGCTTTAATGGATGGGAGTCAAACTAGATGGTTTTGTTCTAAGCAACTATGCAGGAGATAGCTCATAAAGGAAGATTTACAAGCCAAGTTTAGTACCACGGGATCTTGAATTTACTGCTTCTAGAAGACTCAATGTTTTCATGATGTCAAATGTTTTCAGCTGACAATCTTGAAATGTTTGACTCACTGTTTATCCTATAAACTCAGAATGGAAAAACAATATTATGTATCTGTGTTTCATAAACATCTGAAATAGGTATACCTTCATAGCTGGCAATGAGGATAATCTGCTTGCGTTGATATATTTGATGCTGTAAGTTTGTTGACATTACATTTGCATGCACTTTAGGAGCTTGGAAACAGTAGGGAAATCAGACATTTCTGTATTTGACTGTTCTTATTCCCTTCTGTGTTCAAAGTAGACCTATGGTTGCCCTAGACCTGAATGTTGCTTACCATGTAACAGTACACTAAATTCCTTTGGCTCATGCCCCTCAGTCACTTGGAGGGCTGTTGCAGAAGATAGAAAAATGGTACAGCCAAGCATTCTTCTCTAGTTGCCAGGCTCCTGGGAGGAATAGCCAGCCCTGTAGTTAGAAAGGTCAAGAGAAATGGAAGCTCTAACATGGTGCTGATTTTAATACAAACTCTAGGAAACCAAACAGATGTACAGACAATTAAACTTGACTTTACTGGGCAAACTGCAAACAACTTAGAAAAAAAAATTAAAATTGGTAGGCATATAGGTAAGTATGTCGGGCAGAGGGATTAGTGCTGCTTGTGCACTAATTTCACAAGCCTATTAAGAGTTCCTTGAAGGATTCAATGAGCACAAGGAAGACAAGGGAAATCTATTTGATACTGCTGGTGCTAAAGCTCTAACATAAACCCTGTATTTTTATCAAGAGTGTTACTCTAGAAATATACCTTTCATGACCAGCATGGCTAGGGGTTTTAGGAATTAGAAGCAGTTTTTAGAGCTGTGTTCTACTATCTGAAGTGGTGGAATCTCTTGAACTACTAAATTGTTACTTCATAGTACAATGGATCGGGTGTAAATGCAGTGCTTCTTACATGCAGAGCCATGGAACTGAGGTTCTGATCAGAACAGATACTGGAGGTTTGGCCTGTAAGTGAGCAGTGTTGAAATGCTCAATGTGGTATAACATAATGCACGTCACCCACAGATCCCACACATGTGCTCTATTTAGTGACCTCACCACGGCCTTGCGTAACACTGCCTCTTAAGTCTTAAAGTATTTATTTTTATGATATCTTGCATAGAGAATGCATGAAAATTTTTTAATAGTTTTCATTAGCACATGAAACTGCCAAGATTGGATTCAAGGTTTGAACACCAACAGATGGATTTAATTTTTTCATTCAGATGAAACAACAAACTGTCATCATTTATTCTATGCCTGATTAATGTGCTTTGGTGTTGTCTTGATAACTTGAAGCAGTGGCTTTTCCTTTCATAATAACACATTTTGTAATATATTTCCTTTTTGTCTGAGATACAGACTTGGCTCTGGTCACTGGTACAAATGACACCGTAAACTCAGCAGCACAGGAAGATCCCAATTTTGTTATCAGTATCATGCCAATACTGGAACTCTGAAAAACAAAACAAGGTATTGAAAGACAGTGACAGTTTAGTACAGAGTTAGTTATGATATATTCATTTCTTACAAGAAAAGTGCCAACATATATAAATATAAACAAGAAATGTCTTTTCTAAGTCAATGCCTCAAAGATGAATAAACAGGCACATGTTTAGCTGAAAATGACCACTGCCTATATCGAGAGGGCAGAACTTTGCAGAGGCCTAGAAAACCAAATCCTGGCCATTGCCATCAGACCATCCATATGTTGGAACAGCTGAAATATTGCATGTTACCGTGATTGCTTGAATCTACTGTGTTCATTTTCATGGGCTTCAAAAAAATTCAAGCATTTTTTTTTTGTTTCTTACTTCATTATTTTTCAATTAATTCTTTTTGAATGAGCATAATAAATTCAACCATGCCTACCTTAGAGAGCATTCTGCATTCAAGAGGTTGACGCTATAACTTTGTTGGCCAATTTCCTGGCAGCTGCTTCAGGATGGATTTTAAACCAGATTCCCAGAAAAAGTAAGCCATATTCAAAGAAAAGAGGAAGCTTTTGATGATGTAAAGGTTTCTTTGCTATATTTTTTTGCCAACACAGTCATGATAGAATAAAGTGCAAGCACTTTTGTATTCTTAACCAAGAATTAAGATATTGAAAACAGGTATAGAGATCAAAGCCAATATTGTAACCACACTCAGATGCGTGTGAGGTTAAAAGATAAAGTAACGTCATCCAACTGCTTTAAGTGGACTGAGGTGTGCTATGTGACACTTCAGACAATTGAAGCTGTACCAAGTTCCTTCTTTTTCTGCTGTAAACATGAAAAAAGTACTGTAGCATTGATTCTGCCCAAAGAAAGCTGTGAACAGAAAAATGATACTGCATGTTTCAGCTGCATAGACTAATCACTAGAAAATGCAGTTTCAGGTCAGCTGAAATTCATGCTGCATTTGACAAGAAATTTAGTCATGAAACTGAAGCCTCAAAAATAATTTTTGAAAGAAATAAAAGATTATGATGTTCTTTTAATACAGAATTTTTATTTAACATTAGGAAATGAAATGAAGGCTGAGTTTCAGCTTGAGCAAACTTCTTTTGCTGGAACACAAAGTGTTGGTCTTCTGTAGAAAAGACAAGAGTATGCTTTCTTAAATTTAAAGGAGTTTGATTCTCTTCTATTATTAGTATCCATCTCCAAAGCAAATAATTTCAGAAATTGTACTAAAGCTTTTAGATTTCATGCCAGTTAAACTGGCTTATGAGCCCAGGTTCACAGATAGACATTTTTATTCAGAGGCAGAAATTACTTTTACAGGTAAGGGAAGCACAGTGCACAGGATCAGAGAAGGAGCCAGACTCAGTCCGGGGTATGTTGGTGGAGCACATTCTCTTCTGTTCACTCTTCTGTGGTATGTTTCTAAACATCCTATTGCAACATCAGTGGTCTGAGAAGTCAGCAGTAAAATCATGTGGCAACCGCACAAGCATTGCTAAAGTTAGACAAAAATTTCCACTTTCCATGAGGTGAAAATACAGTCTGCTGTCTGTTTTGCATTAGAGAACTAGTTCCCATCTCTTACTCTGAAACTTCAGAATTATTTGAATTTATTTCTGGCAGATAGGGTGAAGAAATCACACCACTCTGAGTAATTTTACTTTAATGTGATATACTATCAAAATTTGACAGCATCTCATTTCTCTTCTGAATCCATAAAATGGCAGTTATGTGTTATCTTTCCCAACAGGCCAACAGGAAGAATGTGATAGATTTTTCATATAAACACTTCCTTTAAATGTTGACAATACTAAGTTTGATCAGTCACAATTAACATTCTTAATGACAGCATTGGGATTTTAGTAAAACGGTGACCCTCAAGTCAAGGAATAACAGTTTAGGAACAATGTTGAGTCCTTCAGTACTTTAGTAGGTGACCTCATATTCTGCTATCAGTAGATCAGGAGTTTAACTGCCACATATTTTGATCTTGGTGGGAAAGCTTTCCTGGTGTAATTGTGCTGCAATCACCATTAACTTTTGTGTCCCAGAATACTCTGAGACACGAGTTAATGGCACCTGGGAGTGTATTAACTGCATTATAGTAAATGATAAGAAATTAATAGGAGGTTTGCCTTCCTCCCTCCTTCTCTTGGCACTTTTGAAGGTAGAGGTATGTAGGATGGATTTTCATATCATATTACATTTTATAGAAGTATGCTATAACCATCACTTATATAGATTGATCTTTAACACATTCAGGCAAAGTACTGAAACACAGTGAGTGGGAAAGGTAAGAACAGATCCTTGTGTTACTTTGCAGTTGGACCTGAAGACTATGTGGAAAACCAGATGGACTCAAAAATTGCAAGAAGCAGTAGCAAAGGAATTAAATCAGGTAACATTACAAGTGCTTTGGGAGGTTTGCTGTAGATTCCAAGTTGGCATCTCTTTTCAGTATCAATGTATCTTTACCCCATGCACTGACATGACCCTTTATTCAACCTTGGCTTGGATGACATTTCTGCTACCTTCCAGGAAAGGAATTGTTTTTTGCAGTAGCTCCCTCTCTTATTCATTTTGAGAAAAGGATTAAATACTCCCTCTGACCAAGCTTACAGGCATGCTAAAGTGAAGCCTCTTCATGCTCCTGGCCAAACAAAGAACAAAAATACCCACAATAAGCAAAAGCAGATGGCTTCAGTGGCAGGAAATGAATGAGCCAGACTGCAGGTAAAATGGTTCTCTGAACACATCGCGGAGGTTTGCACTGACAGGTTCTTTGTTATCTGGGGCCTCCCCACAGGAGGCCAGATGTCTTCTGTTGTGAGAGGAGATAGAGATGCTCTTCCTTTTCCTCCCCCTTTAACTTATGGCTGTTTAAGTTACTGCTAATGGAAGCAGAAGCCTGTTTTTCCCTCTTGGTCTCTGATGTTTTTGGAAACAGAAGAGATAGTGAAGGGGTATTCTGATACGAAAGAAAAGGCCCAGAACTGGCCTTTACCTCCCCATGACCCTCAATTTAAAGAACAGGGAGGTCAGTGCTGCTAATTGCACTTGAAAGGATTAACCACTTGATTGCTTTCATTTAGTGGAACAAAATTTTTCTTCAGTCTCAAAGCTGGGGAAATGTATCAGTGGTACTGAGATGCTTTCAGTGTGAAATGGATGACTTTGTTTGGCTTATACCAATATCAAAATTAAATAGAGGATGTAAATATTTTTATATATATTAGAGAAGGGGCAATTACATCTCCTGCTCAGACAGGACAGATTTGCAGCAGAAGTGACAAAAACCTCCTTCCTGCCCCCATAAAAGGTTATCAGAGGAATTGCAACAGACCGTAACCAATTACAGATATTAGGTGTGCCTCTGTCCCTTGGTATAACAAATTACTCTTGCATTACACTGAGGTTGCACTGGAAGAAAAAGAATCTGAACTCAATTCCTGGACACAGTGTGCCAGATTTAAAATCCTTTCTGTACATTAATTTCATCTTAGAGTTAAAACTAATTTTCTTTTGGAAAAGGTTCTTAATTCCCATTGTTCAAATAAAGTGAGGAATACAAAACTTAAATTTGGAAACAATTTTTCACCTTATGAAACTATTTTCCAAAAGTAACAAAGAACAGCTTATACAAGCTTTTATCTGACCTCTGCTTCTTAAATAAAAAACATGTTTTCAGGGAAATGTGTCTTGGAAATAACTTCTCCTCTCCCCCCAGATTTTTCTCTCTGGTTCTTGTAAAACATTAGGTCAGTGGGTTCATTTTATTTTTGTTTGTTTAAAGTGGGTGAAAGTTTCCTTCTCAAGATATTATACTTGTGTGATTTAAAAAAAATAATTACAAAAATCATTGTTTAAGAAATACCAGGACAGATGGAAATGTCAAAAGACTATCAAAATTCATACCAAAGGAAATAACATTAATAATTTAAAAAAGCCAAAATAACCTCTCAATAACAATAAGAACCAAATGAATAGGCAGTGTTGTTTCAATAGCACTGAGACATGACTGCTGATTTTTCTCACTGCTTGGCACATGAACTCAATATGTAGGTAGATAGAAAAATTATCTCTCATTCTGACTTCAAGCCTGTGTTTCCTGTGGTGCTGTTATAGTTCATGCACATTTCATGTGCACTTCACATAACATAATCAGCATTTTGTTCTGCAAATGGGGATATATTTATGTTGTTCACTGAAATGCACTTTTATATGCACTTGTGCAGATGAGCATACAAATATGAAGTATGATGTAAGAGAGTATTCGTATCTAGTGTTTGAAGCAATACTAAGATTTCAGTATCTTGAAGCATTAAAAATGCAGTATACAAACCAGCTGTTTGAGCCTGGATGGATTGCTGTGTAAGCATAAAACAATTTTCTTGAAGTGTTTTCCAAGGTGCTATTTCACACACCAGGGTGTGTGAGTACCCTCCTAAAGAGTATACTACAAGTGTTAACAAAAACTGGGATGTTTTAAAAAATAATCTATTGCAATTTTTCAGTCTGTCACTTTGACAAAATGTATTTTGTCTTAAGTAACACATTTCTGAGAATATTCAGAAATATTTATCCATCTTATATTGTATCTTAAATTAAACATTTTTTTTCTACCTTAGGAATGTAAGTTTTATTAATGTATTATATGAAATATATTCATATAACTCTGCTCTAAAGTTGTAGCTCAGGTTTATTACCTCTGCCAGCACTGGCTGAGCTGGTATAGCTTGGAAAAACTACATTCAAACATGACTCTGATAGCAGTGCTACGCCGATGACAAAACTCCCATCAGCACAAACTTTTACTTATACTGTTCTAAACTGCCCCTTTACTGCAAAAGGAAAAACGAGCAGATTCACAACCTGCCTAATATAAGGAAGCCTTGTCAAAAATGTTGTGGTCAGAACCACCATCTTTTATTTTTGGTATCTACAATATGCCATAGTGACATTTGTTAGGTTAGTGCTCCCCCAAATAATGATATTACATAACAGTAATAAACAATTAAGTTCGTTTGAATAAGTCTAAACATACCCAAGAAGCTGAGAATAATCCTAATATAAAAGTACATGAATGGTACTACAGGAATAATACGCTGTATAACAGTGTTTAAAGAGACCACTTTTTTATTACTAGAATAATTTTCCAGAATTAATCTTGAAAGTATATAATTCATATTTAATTAATGTGCTCTTTCATTCTGTATTGCTGCCACTCTACTCAGCAACTAAACACCATCTGCTCATTTCAGTAAGCCTTTGATGCCATGAAAGTGAAATCAGTATTGCTGTGTAAACCACAAAGAAAACATCTGATGTAAGAATTAGTAACAAGAAAAGCCAGCATGCTAATTCCTTCTTACAGTTAAGAGATCATTCCTTATGGCAAGAGGGGTCAAGTCCTCCACTCCCATCTCAGGAAATGTGCTCATCACAGTGAGCACATCAGGCCTGTAGGTTGAAGTACAGCAATATTTAGCAAAATGTAACTGTTTTCAAATAAGTATCTCTAATCAGACTGCTCATCTGAGCAGTTCTACTGTCTCAAGCATGCAGGATGAGGTCTGCAGCTCACTTCTGGACATTTATGTAGAGTACAGTCTATTTCCAAAAAAAATCCCAGTTATGTTTGTAGAGTTTATTGTTACAAAAAAAGAGTAGTGTCATGCACCAACAGACAGAAAGCTTACTCTTTTCCCACACAACACTTGGCATCTTTAATCAATGTGTACATAAATGAAAAGAAAAAGAGCAGATTATCATATTGTCCTTTGTAGCTCTCTTTCAAAATCTCCTGATGATAGTCCACAAGGAAATAATAAATTGCTTCTATTGTGGAAAGGTATGTATCTGGTTTTCCCTTCTGATGACGCCAAAAGCAAGTTTTCCTTGTCTTCAACTCAATTTGCAGTAACCCTGTCAAGGAAAAAAGATGACCTAGATTAGGCAATGTGGATTGGTGTCCAGAATGTTAAACAAGACTTAAGTTTTGTTTTCTGACTTTGCTTGCTAGCCTGCTCAGTGCCTGCATGAAAAAAAAATTCTCTTTCTGTACCTCCGTTTTTCATCTGTGAAACTGATGCAGTAATTTTATCCTCCTTTTGGACCACTTTGGAATTTGATGAAGTGCTCTAAGTCCTAGGTTACAATCTTCATATCTGCAATTAATTACAGGTAATCCTTTCATTAAACAGCCACACACCCCTCAATAAACTGCAGTCGCTTCACATGGCAAGGGTGCAACCCACACCTACAAAGACTCATCAATGTTCATAAAATTTTTATTTAATCTTTTGCAAAGTTTATACTTTTCAAGTGTAAAACAGAATCCCTCAGACTGTTAGTGTTGCTGAAGTGAGGACTACTTTCAAGAGCCAGGAACTTTTCATTTGTGCTTGTTAAATAATTGAAATTACTCAAGAATAAGCATGACAGCATCTCTCAATTAACTTTATTAGATACTAAAAACATTCCCACATAAGATGAAAGAGGGAATTTGGTGTCTGTATGGCACAAGAAAATAATCTACTTATAGTCTCTGTAACTAATATATTATTCTGATGAATTTTAAACATGTATCTTGGTTTTTATGTTTCCTAAGATGCACAAACTATTCAAAACTGAAACCACCTTAATGGGCTATCACTTTGTAAACAGGATGGGCAGTTGGATTATGAAGAATGGGGTCAACAATATCAGAACCAGATTGTAAAGTTACCTTTTTTTATCACAATCTGATACTCTGTCTCATGGGACAGTTTAGTACAGGTAACAGTACAAAAACCTTTATGGTCTAAGAATTGCTTGGAAGTTATGGACAGAAAAGCTTCAGTAAGGTCCAAATTCAGGCTAGAGCCCAGCACTTGTAATTCTACACTTTTAACCTACAAACTGTGTTTAATTCTTTTCAGTGTAATTGCAAGAGGGATTTAGTTGTTTGCTTTATAGTTAGGAATGTATGGTATCCTGCATTGTAGAAGAAATCTTAATTACAGCATTTAAAAAAAAACCCTGAATGGGAGAATCTGTCCCTGAATTTAAATGTTATTATTGGCATTTCAGAACCAAAGCCTCAAAATAGCATAGTCTAATTCTTACCTCTAATAATCCTACACATGTGAAAATTAAAATAGCAGTAGGAAACTGCATTAAGCTTATTGCCCACAAGGGTTTTCAACACTTGAATTCTCATCCCTAACCAAGGTGAAAACTTCCATCAAATCCAGCAGCGCTTCCACCCTAAAAGCAGTGAAGTAAAACTCAGGGATGATTCCTCCAGTGGAAACTCCCATAGTTGTGGTTTGAATACAAACAAAAGTTCACTGAAGGCAAGAGTATGGACACAACTGAGCTTACCACAAGTGCAGTATCAGTTACTTTCAAACACAAGATTTTAAGACATTTCATAAAAAAATATAAAACAGAGAGGGTTAAGGATAAAAGGTTACTGAGAGTGTTTCATCTGTACTGTATCTGTATACAGCCAAAGGCAATGTTTGCTTACAAACATGCACTGTTCATATGAAATCCCACAGTACTAATGTATCAGCTAATAAAATATCTGGCTAATACAAAGCAGTTCAAACTCACAGGAAAAAAACAAAGCAGTCAGTTTCTTTAACAATCATGGTGATATTACCAATAAGCTTCATCACTCGTGCGAAAGTCATCATTAGCATTAGATTCAACTGTTTGTTTTCTGATCTAGGGATCACTTTTAATGAAGTACTTAATCCTAGGCATTACCAACTCTCATATATTTCTTGTCTTTAACTGATTTCGTTTTGTTTTCTAAAGATATATTAAGCACTTTTCCAAGATATAGAAGTATTTTATGTCCAAGTACTCTCAGCTTATTTTAAGATTGATATACTCATTTGCTTTCTCTTGCAGCACACTTTACTATATTTATTGCCTATATAAATATAAGCTTACAAAACACAAGGCTTTTCTTTACATTTTCTTGGCTTTGTTAATGTTTTCATTCAGTATTTCTTGTAACTTAGTAAGTATGGCAATTACTTTTTATTTGGAATTATGAACACTCCTTTTTGAACTGTAGCATATGATGAATATTTTGTTGGATGATGACTTCATTTGCAATTGAACTAAAAAATTAAAACAGTTCTCCATTTTTCACGTATGTACAACATAAAAATGTCATCAGTTTATGCCTAAAGAAACTCTGTCCCATTCATCTTGGAAGTGAAAACTGCAATCTCTAAAAGGGGTATTAATGCAATTTATATTCTTTATGACAAGTACTAAGGAAAGCAATACATGCATGGTCTATGCACACTGTTACATCCAAAGTGTGGATGGTTAAAATTCTGTGACTTGCATGACACTATTAAATCTCACAGCAATCCTGAAAGGCGCTCAGAAACCCAGGGGTCTGCAAAACAGCTGGAACTGAGATGTTCTAGAAATGAGAGAGTAGTCCACCAAATCAGCATTGTCATGGGGAAACGAAACCATTCAAGAGTTCCAAAGTAACACCAATTATGACTTTTTGACTGATATATGCATAGGCTTCCATGGAAATTTTCAGTTCCCCTGGCTGCCTGTTACTTTCCTTGAATTCATCCTCTTAAAAGAAGTTTCAAATGCCTAACATTAACTTGAAACATGCAATTCCTCTGATCTTTGCAGTAATACTTCAATGTAGCTAATAGAGTATGTTTTGTGTTAAACTAAATACTTATAACAGGATTTTAATTAGCCAATACATCATACTAACATGTAAGATTCTTTAATAAACTGACTAGACAGCAAAGCAACATTCATCTTTCATGTAAGAAAGTCTGTGAAATTCCTTGTAGGATACAGTGAGAAGCAGTAGTAGTATATATGTGTGTATATATATATATTGCATATAAACTTAACAACCTGCCTTCCAGCTAAGTGCACTTTTTGCACTAATAGAAGTATTTTCAAACTCCTACTCATCTCAAAGGAAATTGAATGCTATTGCTAAATTGTTTTGTCTTTTGTGGTTTTAATTAGAAGGCCTAAATGTAAACTTCTTGTAAAGAACCTAAGAAAAAACTTTTTGCTGAATTACCAGTTCCTGCTTTCAGAGTTGGAAGGGTGTGGAGGGCAAGCAGCCCTTCCCTTTTTGTCTGGAGTAGTGAACTTGTGGAAATATCCATTAACAACTTCAGGAGAAAGAGAACCCAAGCCAGGACAAACCTGTGCTGAACCTCCTAAATTCCTCATTTACCTTCTTGGGGCCTGTCTGCCACCAACATGTACACAAATGGTCCTTTGGGTCTCTGGAAGGCAGAGCAGCCGCCTGCAAAGGAATCTTCCTGGTTTCCTTCAGAGGCCATTAAAACTACTGTTTTGTAGTCTGTTCACTGCCTAACGTGACAGCTCCCCTTCTCTGAGACTGTGGAAATTTGCTCCAATAGAGGAGTGAGACAAATAGATATAAATGCTTTCTTAGTACTAGTATTATCTTTTTGTAAAATAAATTATATGTCATGAAAAGTAACAGAGTCTGGCTCAGGAAGTATTCTTCAGCCCTGGAACAGGCTGCTGAATTCTTCATATGCACTCAGATATAGGCTGCACATAAGCTTACATCGTACTGAGGTCTGTTATAGTCATACATCCCTTAATCATTTCTGCAGCAATAACATCTCAGTATCAACTTGTATTTTTTTACCTTGAAGTCGTTCATCAGTTATTATCTTGTTAGTTTGATTCCAGGTACTGTCAATAAATATTATCTTCTTCAGTCTAGTGCCTTCACTCCTGGCGCTTGAGATGCATTCATTTGGATTCTTTTCTTCTTCAGGTTCTATTTTTGCTTGTTTAAGAAGTGGCTCTCTGGAACAGTCATCGTCACTAGCACAGACACCTTTCTTGGTGTACTTTTGGAGATGGAAAGCAATATCTTTTACTGAAACTGAATTTGGGCCAGGAAATATAAGTGCTATCTGAATAAAGAAAACAAAGAGATTTGAGTGTCAATAAAATCTAATAAAACAACAGGATTCATTGTATTAAAGAACAGAAATTTTCTACCTTGTCTGTAAACATTTAAGCCAGGACAAGATGAAACAGTATCTCTCAAACATATTCTGTTGTCTAATATAGTGTTAAATCCATGTTAAAAACATGTTAAAGAATTGAGATCATTAACAGGAATTTTTATTTAATGTTACTTCCATGCTACTCTCTACTGCACTCTACTAATTCTTAACACTTCTGTATAAAAAGATTTTTCAGCCAAGACAATGGTGTCAGCCCTGAGGAAGTTCAAATGTCACTTGTCACTGCAGTATATGGGGCAGGAGGGCCAAAAAAATAGCTTACCATTTAAATGAACATATACATGTTCATAGCTCACTTTTTTGTGCTCTATGCTATGATAGACAAGTGTTGCATTTTCAACTTTTTCCTCTGTCATAGTGAATGTTAAAAATTTTAAGGAGGTTTAAATACTGCAGCTGCTAAATATGAGCACAACATTCAACTGCTGTTTAACTTGCTCCAAGTTGAATACTTTTGTTAATAGGCAAAATATTTCTTCAGGTACACAGTAAATCCAATTTCCATTATGTGATGTGATGAACATAGAAAATTCAAGGTGGTTAAATAGTGCTGTAGTCTTTCTCAGCACTGGAGAAAAGGTTACAGTGCAGAACTCCGTGTTTGCGGAGCTAAGCTTTGAGAGAGCACAGGATGGACTGCACTAATGGAACAGTGGTTTTCTTCCAGCAGGGCACTACCACTGCAGGAGGAAGCTGCACCTCCCCAGCATAAAGCCTGGCTATCTCTAGAGAATCTCTTACTTCATGTCTCTTCTCTTCATATTCTGGAATGCAAGGGTATTTATAAATTGTAACATCATCAGGTGCCAGGAGCTTAGCATGCACAGCAGTGCTTTTGCCATCTGTTTCATTTGGGTGTTTAATAATATCAATCTTCAAAGGTAACTAGAGCAAAAGAAGAAAAAAACAGTACTTATCATCATATTTATGAACATCTGTACAAAAACTTACTCAAAATTTGCAAGAGATTCCTATGGGCATGTAATTAAAACATGTTATAATTTTTGATAGGTTTAGAGCTAAACTAGAGACAAGTTAGAAGAAGCACCTTTTACATTCAATTTTTGCAAATACCTATGTAAGCAATGATGCTCTTTGGAATGCTGCCAGATGTAGTGTGGTAAAATAAGTTGGTTGTGATCTTAATTTCAGCAATATAATGGTTCTAAATATGAATACTTATCTCTATTAGGTATTTACCCAACTGTGAAAATGGCTATTTCAATGAAAATACACCCAAGTTTACTAGGTCAAAATTCCAAAGTACTTCTAAAGTATTTTCATGATGCTTTCAAACTCCAGTGTCTTCAAAATGCATCTTAGATCCTAACTGATTTTCCAAAATATCTTAGTCCTCTCTGATAGTTTCCCCAAGTATCTTAGCTGAAAGGCATTACACTATTTATATTTTAAGAGTAGGTATTGGAATTATAGAACCATGACATATAGGAATGTCTTTTACATTTCATGTACAATTCACCCCTGGTTATGGACAAATTTTTTGTTCACAATATAACGTGTCCTAGCCAGAGCTGTTAGAAACTGAAGAACGCGCAAGAACACCATAAAGAATCTTTCAACAACTAAGTGAAAACATAGTTGCATGAGAAGCTGAGTGACTTCAGCCTATATTCTCATCTACAAGATACATAAATGTTTATGTGAGTATTGGAACATTTTCAGTGTTTGTACATGTAATTCCTCAAGTAAGAACAGTAATTTTATCTAACTATAGTTTATTCATACTTATAGCTATGTTCAAGATGAATGTCTGTAAAGAATGAGTCAGAAAAGAAATAGCTGCAGATGAACTATTCTCTGTCCACAGTAACTAAAACCCAAAATATGTTATAAAAAATTATTAAGAAATATTAACCTTCACAGTTGGAATTTCTTTGGTAGGGACAGTTTCAACAGGAACAAAGCATGTATAACAATAAAACATCCTTGAACTATTGCATCGGGGGCATTTCGATCTCCCACTCTTTTTTGCCTTTTCCAGTACTTCCTGCGATGCTAACTGTAATTGTTGAAGTGGATTATCTTGAAACGATGATGGAGTCTGCAGTACGCTTTCCAAACACTCACTATTTCTTTTTACTCCTTGAGTATTTTCTTCATTTAAAAGGGTAGATGAATTTAAGGACATGGTTAGCTGAAAGAGACAAAATGTTCTTAAATAAAAATCCAATTTTATGAACTAATCTGCTAGAAATTATTCAGTATTATTCCATTTAACAAAAAGATCTCATCAAAGAAGGTATTTCCTACAACAGAAAGAATAATAAAATCATCTGATTCAAGAGATTTCAGGAGAGCATGAGATAAACAGCTGGAAAGAACCTGAGATCTGTACCCTTAGTGCACAGAAGCACATTCATTATCCCACTGACTTAACTCCTGCAGAAGTCTATTATTTCTCTGTTAAGATCCGTGTCTAAAAGTTTATGAAAACACTGGTAAGCAGCATTTACCTGGATGAGCAATCCCATTAGTCTCTAGCATGACTACTGACAAGAAATTATATGCCTACAGAATAGAAATTCGTCAAACAAAAGTTAATTGTGCAAATTTAGATCTCCATCCTAAAATTTATTGTGTGGGGACAACCAAATAACCGGAATGAAATCGCTCTTAGCTAGAACTCTGTGAAATAGAAGAAATTTTCCAGAAGAGCTTGAGGCAGAAAAGTAGCAGCTAGATGAGGGCTTTGCTGCCCTATGTACCAGACAGTAAGTGGTGACCCAGTATAGACTTCTGCAAGTTTGTGTTTATTTAGTACCACTGATGGATTTTTTTTTCAGGCTTTCTTCAGGACAGCTGTTGTCTCACCCTCTGCAGCTGACAGAGAACTGTCACCATGTACTGTGAGCAAGACATGAGAAATATGACCGTGTGCCCACCGCAGGGCAGACAGACTTAGCTGTGCTCTCTCATCCTCAGAGCAGCCCCCAGCCAGCAGTCTGCACAGCCTGCAGTAGTTACAAACTGCCTTTGGCACTTTGTGCTGCATCATTTGCAATGAAGTTATTCTCAGTATTTACTTTCAGCTAATTTAGGTTTACTTTTTCATGTCAAGGATCACACTTATGAAATGATGTAGCAAAGTCGTGTTTTATGGATGCTAAATGCAAAAAGTAAGCAGGGAGCTTAGTCTCTCAGTCTGGCCTGAGAAAGCATGAGAAAGAATCCAAAAGAATCCAAACAGTCCTTGGTAAAGGACAACAATCTTAGCAGGAAACAGTCAAGGGGTAGTGTTCCACTTAACCAATGATGGTGGATGTGTTGCTTTAATGACCAATGAGAGTTTTACCTCTCGGACCTTCTCAAACATGTGTATAAAAGAAGATTAAGAATAATAAACTTTGCTCTCTTGGACAGTGAAGCTAAGGGAGTCAGTGTTGTGCTTATAACCGTTCCTAATAAAGTGCGACAATGTTTAACAAAAACCAACAAACAGTAAATCCTGAAATGTAATCCAAAATTAAGCATTTAAATAAAATCAAAAAACTCAGCTAAGTTTCCAACTCAAAATTAAAATCAATCCCAGAAAAAAATATTATTTTCTGGTTAAATTAAGTATTCATGCATGCTATGATACCTTCTCCTCTGCCAGGTGTAACTTTTTAAAGGTCAAGGATGTCCATGCAAATAAACGCAAAATATAATACGCATACGAATTTTCTATTTGTTTTCAATTCGCTTTCAAGTTTCTCTGAAATAAAGCAAGTATACTTTACATCTCAGAGTAACCTGTACTATTATCAAGTTTCCTCAGGAAGCAGAGGGCGAGAGGCCCTGGAATTGGACATGCATTCCCGGCCTGCAAACTGATTCTTTTCAGTGTAATGCCGTGCACTCTGTGGCGCTCAACGGTGACACCCTGAAGCACTTTTGTTATCGATACTGACAAGGGATACGCTGTGGCCTCAAAATAATAGCTGTGCCCAGGCTGCAGCACTATCCATAGAGAACAGTACACTGCAGAAAGTGACAGACTACAATTCTAAGACCCAAATCTCACTTCAGACACGTATTTTTAAGACTAAATAACAAATCCGTCTGCACCTCATCTCCAAGCCCCTGATAAATCACTGCCGATGGAGGGGTAGTACCCTCCACACTCCAGCTGCAGTTCTAGGACAATTCAGAAGACCGGCCGGCCCATGTCGGGGGTTGTGTAAAGCTCACGGGGGTGCCGTAAGCTCCCTCTGTGCCGCTGCCCGCTGTCAGCCCAGCGCGGTGAGCGCAGGCCGGCTCCGGAGCGCCGCGCTCGCAGCTTCTGCGGGCGGAGATAGCGCAGGGCGGGCACGGCCCCCGGCCGCTGCCTCTGCCACCGGAATAACAGCGCGGTTCTGCCGCTCGGCCGCGTCCGGACGGCCCCGTCCCGCCGCCGCAGCGGCACCAAGGCCCTGTGGGAGCAAAACCGTTTCCTACCGCGGGCCGCCCGAGCCCGCCCC